CTCCTCTGAAGAATCATACAATCTAATAATGAAAATAGATACATAATTAACTAAACTACATGTCAGGAAATGGTAATAATAATAATAGAATAGTTAATTCTGATGTGTTGCTTATTTACTAAGTTGTATACACTTTATATTATATACCTAATTTAATCCTCACAACAACTTTATGAGGTAGATATTACTATTATTATCCCATTTCAGAGATGAGGAAACTGAGGCACAGAGAGATTAAGTAATTTCCCAAGTTTAGACAATTAATCAGTCTGTGCTCTCAACATCTAGACTAGACTGCCTCTCATGACAAATGTCATAATCAAGACAGACAAAGAAAATACTTATTAACTGTATTAAAGAACCATGTATGAAACAGGGCAAGAGGAATCAGACAATAAATACAATGATTATATAAAGAAAATTCACAGTAAATAATAAGAAAGAATTCTTGATATCTGAACTCTATTGGGATTCTGGAAACACTCTGTTATTTAAATGGATTACAGAGTAGAAAGTCACATGGCAACATACAGGTCCTACCTTGGCTCTATAGATAATGGCTTAGCTTAGTATTTTTTAAACTAAAGGCCACGAACCTTTTAGTGAACTGTGAAATCAACTTAGTTAGTCTAATCAACACTTAAAAAGAGAAAGAAACAGAAACAGTAGAATAGAGTAAATGAAAAATATCAGTGCATGTCTCACATGGTAAAACTGCAGAAAACTTTTGTTCCTGTTTCATATATGTGTATACGTTATATGTACATGCACTGGTCCATGATGTAAATGGTACTTCTTATTGTGGATCATGCCAAGAAGCTTGAAAGCCACTGGCCTGGCTGATTTAGTTATATGATAATATAAGTGTTTACTGCTTCCTTATAAATTTCAGAGATCCCCTGAAAAGTGCCTACATACTTAAACCAGGAACAGCGTGGAATATGGAGAGATTTTTCCAAGTAACTGTATAAGCTGCTCAGTATAGACAGATATCTTGGCCATTTCTCAAAAGCATTCTGAATATAGTTTCATGTCAGTGCCCCCCAAAACTGATAAACGCACTAAGTATAATTAAAAGTATAATTATAAGCAGAATGTAAAATGGTTCAGTCACTGTGGAAAACAGTTTGGTGGTTCCTCAGAAAGTTAAAACATAGAATTACCATAAGAACCTGTAATTCCACTCAGCAGAATACACCTTAAAGAACTGAAAACAAGTACATGTACATGCATGTTCATAGCAGTTATATTCACAAGAGCCAAAAGGTAGAAATAACCCAATGTCTATCAGTGGATGAATGGATAAACCAATTGTGGTATAGTCATACAATGGAATATTATTCAGTCATAAAAAGGAATGATGTACTGACATATGCTACAACATGGACAAACCTCCAAGACATTATGCTAAGTGAAGGGAGCCAGACCCCAAAGGTCACATATTGTATGATTCCATTTAAATGAAATATCCAGAAGAGGTAAGTCCATAGAGACAGAAGACAACACAGACTGGTGGTTGCCAGGGCCTGGGGGACTGCGGGGTGAGGACAAACTGCCTAGTGGGTAGGGATTTTACTTTGGAGCGATGGAAATGTTTCGGAACTAGAGGTGCTGGCTGCACAAAATTGTGAATATAATTAATGCCAGTGAATTGTTCACTTTACAATGGTTAATTTTATGTTATGTGAATTTCACTCCATTAAATTATTAACAATAAAAGCCTATAGGCAGATGTAAATACTAGTAATACAAATATCCAGAATATGGAAGGCAAATCTTTCTCAGGACATTAGAAATTGAATAGGAAGGGATATCTATTTTTTCTCAAAAAATTTTCTAAAAAGAGGGTCATATATAGAGTAAATAGTCCTTACTAACTAAACTAGAGGCTAAACGGAAAAATAAACTATAGACAATTCTAACATCTCTGAGAGAAAATTGACATGTACTTTTCTAGAAACTTGTTTGAAAAATCAAAATTCACCAAGAGAGGGGCCGGCCTGGTGGCGTAGTGGTTAAGTTCGCACGTTCCACTTCTCAGCAGCCCGGGGGTTTGCCGGTTTGGATCCCGGATGCGGACATGTCACTGCTTGGCACGCCATGCTGTGGTAGGCGTCCCACGTATAAAGTAGAGGAAGATGGGCACGGATGTTAGCTCAGGGCCAGTCTTCCTCAGCAAAAAGAGGAGGATTGGCAGCAGATGTTAGCTCAGGGCTAATCTTCCTCAAAAAAAAATTCAGCAAGAGAGGAAACATTATTCTTAATACAAAGGAGGAAATAGGAAGGAAGGGAAAACTTTCGGATGGAACTTTGGACTTGAAGGAAGTGGGGAAAGTATACCAGTCTTCTGGTTTTCAGTTTAACTTACAAATCTTCTCTTTAAGGAGGAGAAAAAAAAAAAAAAGGTGCATGGGTAGGTGATGTTAAGCAACTGCTTTCCTCTTCCCTTGGAGAAAGTTATTTTTATTGTTATTACGGTACGTATCTGTCTTTGGAGAGAGTTCACTAGAGGTATCCTGGCAAAGGCTGGACAACTCCTTGCGGGGTATGCTATGGGGGAGGACGGCTGTCAACACTAGATCAAGGTTTTCAAACTTTGTTCATCAGAATCCTGAAGGTCCTTTAGGCTGCTAGAGTGAGAGAAGAGGAGTGAGAGAGGAGAAGGGATGGACCGGTTGATGCCCCAGGCCTCTATGCCTGCTTCATTCTGAACAGGTTTGTTTTTACCTTTTAAATATTGGGATTCCATGTTAAGACTTTACTTGGAAAAAATTCTGCTGCTAAAGAACACTTTGAAAACCATTTGACTGGATCAAGGATTCCTAAACCTGGCTGCTCAACAGAATTCCTAAAAGAGCATTTTCAAATTACAAATTCCTGGGCCATACCCCTAGACCTGGTGAAATAATAACTCCCCAGGGGATTCTTGTGCAGCAGTCTAAGTGTTTGAGAGGCACTGAACTGGATGACCCTTGCTTCCCTGAGAGCCTACAACAAAACAGAATTTATATGGGTAGGCAGGAATCTTGGGCAAAAGAGCTGGTGGTAGCAGATGGAAAAAGAGAACATAGACAGCTAAATCACTAGAGTGTAATGAAGAAAAGAAAATGGGTCAACGAGGAGCTGGCCTAGGACTAGAAGTTCCTCTGGAGGTTTAACTGCCTGGCAATTATCTCACAGCCTACTATAACTGTCCATATTGGTGATTGCAGTCAAAATGGTTTAATCCAACCGTCCAAGAAAGTATAATGTTAGCTACACATGTAATTTAAAATTTTCTAGTAGCCATGTTAAAGAAAAGTGAAAAGAAATGACATTAATTTTAATAATATATTTAATTCAATATGTCCAAAATAATATCATTGTAACATGTAATTCAGCATAAAAATTAATAATATATTTTACCTTTTTTTAAATTAAGTCTTCAAAATGTCACAGCACATCTCAATGCAGACTAACCAGGTTTCAAGCGCTCAGTTACCACGTGGCTAGTGGCCAACATAACGTATAGCGCAGGACTAAGTAACAAAAGGCCAATCTATGTCCTTTTAAAATTGCTATCTTCTTGCAACAAAAAGTCTATGAATCACTGTCCTAGCCCTGAGACCCTGCTCTGAAGGCTAGGCAGATAACAATTTTGTCTGCAGATATCACATCCAACTTCACATCTTCAGCCCTGACCCCTCTCCTTCTTCCCAGCAGCAGAGTCTGTGTTCTCAACATGTTTCCCACAATGTCCTGCTCCTAAAGCCTATTCAAAATATCTAAAACGAAATTCACCATTTTTCTTCCAAAATAAAAAAATCAGTTTACCTCTTGATTTTCCTGTTTCTATTAGCCATCTAAGATCAAAATTTCAGAGTCAAATGCTTCCTTTTCCTTTCTTCTACAAAAGTACCAAGTTCTATTTATTCTTCCTTCACAATCTCTCAATCGTTGGCCATTTCCTGCTTCTAGTTCTACCTGCTGATCTGTCCAGTATACTGTTAACCAAATACATATACTTAACATGCTATGTAGAATGTTGTTTCTCTTTAGTGGCTCTGTAATGCCTGCCACTGAGCTGTGAATTCAAGACCACACACAATCTTGCTCCTACCCCCACCCCGGCCTAGATCATTCCAACCTTATTGTTCATCAAGCTCCTAGAAAAGCCTTTATTTTGGGCAAACTATCCTGTTCACTGTCTCCTGAATCTGCCTTATACTTCCTCATCTCTGTGTTTTATAACTTTCTAGCCACCTGGAATGCCCTTACTCCAGCTTTACCTATCCAAGTTATTATTCCACAAATATTTATATGTCAGGCACTCTACTAGATACCGGAGACAGAAAAATAATCCTAGTCTCAGTTTCCACAATTGAAGAAATCTTCCTTTAAATGTCAATTATACCTCAATAAAGTTGAACTTAAAAAAAAAGAAGAAATCTTCCTGACTATGCCAAAACAGAAATGATTTTGTATGGTTGAGTTGTTCTTGTAAGGCATACAGTCCTTACAGTTTGCTAATTATCAATTTTTCCTATAAATATCAATCTTCCCAAACAGAGCGTGGGTTTCCTGGAAGTATGGACTAAAGACACACCAGTGTGTTCTCCCTGGTGCTCAGCAAGCAGCAGGTCTTGAACACATACTTGCTGATTGACAAGTACTTGTAAAAGAGAGAAGAGCCTGTGGGGCAGGAGGAGGGCTCTATCTGGAAAAGAAGGTCTCCCCCTCCCCAGTGGTATGCTGGCAAATCAGGATCAGAGGTGAGCGGGGAGGGCATGCAAGAACCCCAAAGCTGAGGAAAGCACTTGGGAAGTTTCACTTTTCCAATTCCATTTGCAAAGACATTCCAGATTGGCAACACTTAGTTAGGATCAGTTATCCTGGCTTTTGAACCTCAACAGCATAACTTAAGTGATCAGCCTTAAAAATCCTTTCTTGGTACTAAATGAAAATAATACCACCGGTGATGTTTAACATACATACATAGCAGACCTAAAAAGATAACTTACCACATGTTGTGTTCAAACACTTTGGCTGGGTCAGTTAAAATCCTTGATCCCAGAGGGGCCACTGGGTGATAACTACTTTGGTATCTGTGTGGCACCTTTCTTATCCTTAGACAGGAAACAGAATTTCTCCAAATCACATTCATCCTAATCAGTACCTGGAAAGTTACAAACGATTGATTAGTCAATATGGACTAAACAGCGTGTTGTTTATCTAATAGCCAAAAACTGGCCTAAAGGGGTACAACCTGAGAAAGAACACGGAAACTAAAAATTTTTAAATGAAAGATGGGCATGATAGCTTCTCTCCTCAAGTATTTTCAGGCCAAGAGAAGGGAAAAGAATAGAGTGTGTGACATCGGCTGGCGTTCTTTATAAGTCACAGCCTTCACCAACTTTGCTTTGTTTGGTATTTGCTTATTTAATTTTCAGCACATGGCCAAAGCATCTAAGTCCAGAATCTGGATTTTGTGTACTAAAACATTTTTTCAAAAGTGATTTTATTATTATGATTTGGGAATTTTAGGCACACAAATTTCTAGGGAATATTTTGTGACCACTAGACCAAAAACCCATGTATAATAGCAGAATAAGAAAACAAACGTAGTAAACCTCATTCCCACAGCTGAACTGAATAATATGAAAATTAGTTAAATAAATAAATACTGTATTAAGATATGATCCCAGTAATTCTTAATTCTAATAACCCTGTATACATCTATTTTTAAGAATAGTCAGTAATACATTTGCAAAATGTACAAAACGCATTCTTAAATCCTATGTCAAGAGGAGAATCATCAGCTGATTAGCCAAATCCATGCCCATTTCTGGAAGAATAACTTAAACATTTAAATAGTGTGTCATCTTAATTATGTACTGGCAACATGTTGGTTTAAAATCTTTATGGAAAAGTACCAAAATGAAGCTCTAAAGAGCTTATCTTTTCCAATAAGAATCCATTGTAATACTGCTCAGCATTTCACTCCTGTTCAGTTGCTGATCACAATATTCAGCCTAATGCTGTAAGCTGTCATGTAGAAGCAGATGCTAAAAGGTGTGTATACATAATACACATTAGAGACTATCCAAGGTGCTATTAGGCATAAAAATGACATGTATTGTATACCCTTTACCACCTTACTGAAAGTCAATGGGTTTTAAGACTGTGAATTCTAAAATGAACTGGAGAATGTCAAAAACATCTCATTGTGCTTTTAAACATAAAATTCAAGATTTTCCTTTAGGAAAAAAAAAAGGCTTAGTTATACACACCAAAAAGACTGTCATGGTTCCATTCAAATGTGACCAACAGTGATGAGAAATGAAACATTCAATAGCTAGTGCAGATCTCCCGTTTCTTGTTTGTTTTTCCTTCTGCACTAAAAGCAAGCTCTTTGGTGGAGGCAAATGAAATTAAATGCTCCGCCTACCACTACCTTTCCCCTGATACGCCTTTGTTCTTTTCTCCTGACAGTGTTCCACATAAGATGAACAAAACCCTACCTGCACAATTATTTTTAGAGCTCTTGCTGCACCGAATATTATTCATAAAATCTTCCATATGCTGAAGAGTAGAAACTGATTACACCTAGAAAGAGAGGTAATTCATGCTCCAAAGTGTAAAATGATGTAAATGTTTTCCACCCAGGAAAGCCAAATCAAAATGAAATTTCAATCCTTCAAATAATCATGTGATACTTATCTCTATCTATCTATATATAGAAGAGGAAGAGAGGGAAAAAAAGATAAAGAGTTTCTCTCACTATAAAGGACCAAGAACCTCTATAGATAGCTGGAGACAAAAAGTCATAACCAGACTGGATATTAGGCAATTCAGGAAAATGCCAGAGAAGTGTGTGCCTGGCAGACTGCTACCCCTTAGAAAGAGAATGGCATGGCCAGGGCCTAAACATGTGGCAATTTGTCCTGTTTAGGCAGCTCTTTTTCTAATTAATCACAGAAACATCTTTATCTATTTCATTTATTTATTATGTGCAAGAGTCACACACAGCCTTGCATTGCTCTTCATCTTTTTATTATATAAATACATAATAAACTTACATAATAAATATAAACAAATAATAAAATTATATAAATGCCTTCTCAACTAAATTGCAAGCTTCTAACAGCAGCAACAAGGTGCTCGTGAATTAACTGTTTGACTGAATATACAAAACTGACACTTGTCTGACATAAATCTAATTAGAAGCAAGTTACTTTGTATTTTTCAGGGTGGCTCCTAAGATCCTTGCAGTGTGGAAAAAGGAAGTGACAGGAGAGTGTGACAGTATACAGGTAGCTATCCAGCTATATTGACTACAATGGTTAACAAACATATGCTTTATGTTATGACTATCATGTTAACATTGCTTACTAGGTCATGGTTCCATTTCGTGATGGGAAAAGGGGAGAAGGGCAAGGTCAACTCCAAACAAAATTCTGGCAGGGAAAGTTGGTTTCCGCCACTAGAGACTCCCACTCTCTTTACGTACCTTTTCTTAACTTTCTTTTGGCATCCCCTAATTTGAAAACAAGTTTAACGAAGATATTATTTGCATAATGGAACTGTATGGATAAATACTATTTTTATTTGAAATAACACAAAGAAGTATAGCTAAAAATATTCCATTCACTCAAAAGGCAGGAAAGGAAGAACAGAGAAAATCAAAACAGATGGGACGATTAGAAATCAAATATCAAGATGGCATATTTAAACACAACCAAATCAACAATTACATTCAATGTAAATAGACTCTAATTAAAAGACACGGATTGTCAACTTGTATGAAAAAGCAACACCCAACCATATACTGTCTATAAGAAAAGCACTTTAAATATAGATATAAATAGATTAAAATTAAAAAAAGAGATACCATGCAAACACTGCATGAAAAACTGGTGGAGATATAATAATACACAAAGTAGACTTAAAAGAAAGACTATAACAGAGATAAAAAGGGACATTTAATAATGATAAACCAATGATAAACCATTCATCAAGATATAACAGTCCTAAATGTGCATGTACCTAATAACAGAACTTCAAAATATATGAAGCAAAGATGAACAGAACTTTTTAAAAGGAGAAATTAATGAATTCACAGTAATACTTGGAGATTTTAGTACTCCTCTCTCAGTAATAAATAGAACAACATTCAGAAATAAACTATCAAAAATCAATAAGGATAGATAAGATTTGAACACTATCAACTTGACCTAAATGACATTTATAGAAAGGACACTATACCTAATAACAGCAGAATACACATTCTTTTCAAGTGAACACGGAACATTTGCCAAGGCAGACCATACAGGCTGGGCTATAAAACAAGTCTCAATAAATTCCAAAGTATTAAAATCATACTGAGTATGCTTTCTGACCATAACAATATTAAATATTAACATTTTTGATAAATTGACTCAATAATAAATATCCCTCATTATCTCTGGTAATAGTCATTTTCTTGAAGGCTACTTTGTTTAATATTAATATAACCCCACCAGCTGTCTTACACAGTGTTGTGTATGGTATACCTTTTTAAAAAATGTATTTGTGTGTTTACATTTAAAGAGACTCTCTCATAGGAGCATACTGATTCTTGCCTTTTTATCCAAACTTAAAATCATAAGATATCTGGGAAAATTCCGAAATATTTAGAAATTAAGCAACACATTCCTAAATAACCTACAGGTAAAATATTTACATGAGTTAGTAAATCTTAAGGTACATTAGAAAATACATTGAATTGAATAATAATGAAATCTTAAAATATAAAAATTTCTGGGATGCAGCTAAAACAATGTTTAGAGAAAAATTTATAGTTTTTAAATACTTCTACTAGAAAGAAATAAAGATCTCAAGTCAATGATCTTGGCTGCAATCTTAAGAAACCAGAAAAATAGCAAATTAGCTACAAAGTAAGTAAAAAGAAGGAAATAAAAATAAAAGCAGAAATCAATGAAATAGAAAATGGACAAAATAGGGCAAATTAAAGTCAAAAATTGGTTCTTTGAAAAGATTAATAAAACTGATAAACCTCTGGCAAGGCTGATCTCAAACATTTGTGTTTCAGTAAACACAAATTTCTAATACAAGAATGAAAAGGAAACATCACCACAGACCCCACAGATGTTGAAAAGCTAATAAGGAGATATTGTGAAAAATTCTAATCCATTTATTAGATGGGATAAATGCCTGGAAAAACACAATTTACCAATAATAACTTACCACAACAGCACAAGAAAAAAATCTAAATAGCCCTAAATTTATTAAATAAATTAAACTTGTAACTAAAAGCAAAACAAATATCACATCTATTAGCATGGTCATTATAAAAAAAAAACACACACACAAGAGAAAATAACAAGTGTTGATGAGGATGTGAAGAACTTGGAACCTTTGTGCATTGCTGATGGGAATGCAAAATGGAGCAGAGGCTATGGAAAACAGTATGTATGGCAATTCCTCAAAATATTAAACGTGGAATTACCATATGATCCAGCAATTCTACTTCTGGATATATACCCCAAAGAAGAGAAAGCAGTGACTTGAAGAGATACTTGTACACCATGTTTATAATAGCATTATTCACAAGGGACAAAAGGTATAAATAACCCAAGTGTCCATCGAAAGATGAATGGATAAACAAAATATGATAGATACATAAAAGTAATATTATTCAGCATTTAAAAAGAAGGGAATTTTGACACATGCTACAACATGGATGAGCCATGAAGATATTAAGCTAAAGGAAAGGAGCCAATCACAAAAAGACAAATGTTGTATCATTCCTCTTACATGAATTTCCTAGAGTAGTCAAAAATTCAGATAAACAGAAAGTAGAATGGTCGTTGTCAGGGGCTAGGGGGAGGAGAGAATGAGGAGTTAAGTATTTAATGCGTAGAGATAGAGCTTCAGTTGGGAAAGATGGAAAAGTTCTGGAGATGGATACTTGTGATGTTTGCACAACAATGTGAATATACTTAATGCCACCCAACTGTACGCTTAAAAAAGAGACTTAAGATAGTAAATTTTATTTTTCCACAATAAAAAACAAAAAAACCCTTCCTACAAAGAAAACTGCAGGGCCTGATGGTTTCACTAGTGAATATCAAACATTTAAGGGAGAAATAACACCAATCTTACACAGACTTTTTTGGAAAACAGAGAACACTTCCTAATTTGTTTTATAAGGCCAGCATAACTGGATAAGTAGTATACTCGTATGAAATAAAGGTTTGAGTATTGGTCATATTGTTACAATGCATTTTCCCACAGACTTAATGCTTCTCATTACAGTTTCAAGTTACCACGGTTTGAAAGGAATAAAACTTGAGGATATCTAAATGGGGGAAACCTGGGTAAGTTTTCTAGGCATGTCTTGTGTGCTTTAATTGCAAAGGCTGATATTTAGTTTGAGTTATTCCAGTTCAGAGCAGAGAAATATGAAGGCAACAAATCTCCACAAATCCTTGTTAGGTGTCTGAGTTTTTATTTACTTTTGGAAGCAGCTAAAAGCTTCGTGGTCCTCACCCTTCACTTAACTTGGGTCAAACTAATTCTGCCATATCAAATTCCAGCCCATATAATCAAGTGGTATTTCTTTTACTTACTTTGCCTATAGGTTCCCACTTCCAGCTCACCATCCTATGGTAGTTCTTTCTCTCAAGTCCTGTCAAGGTCAAAATGAAACATGGTGAGCATGACTTTAGGGCCACGGCCCTCTGAAATCTCAATGCTAAGACTCAGTCATGAATAGTCAGTTGGCTAAAGAGATCACTAAGGAACAGATCCAGAAGGGAACTGAAGTTCACATAAGTATCAGAGTGACAGAATTTTATTATCAATAGCATTTATTATGCTAACAAGTATACAGAGGTATGCTGTAAAGAGCTGACAGACTTCTTGCCAGCTCTAGGTGTTAAGTGCACACCTATTTTAGAATGCAAGGAAAAGAGCAAATGTATAAAATGACTTGGGTTCCGCACATAGTATGACAAGCCAAGTAGAAGATGTTTTCTGTTTGTTTTTTCTTGCTGAGGAAGATTCGCCCTGAGCTAACATCTGTTGCCAATCTTCCTCTTTTTGCTTGAGGAAGATTCGCCCTGAGCTAACATCTGTTACCAATCTTCCTCTTTTTGCTTGAGGAAGATTCACCCTGAGCTAACATCTGTGCCAATCTTCCTCTTTTTCCTTGAGGAAGATTCACCCTGAACTAACATCTGTGCCAATCTTCCTCTATTTTGTATGTGGGTCACCACCACAGCATGGCCACCAAAGAGTGTACCGTTTTCTGGGCCAAGCAGTGCCACCACAGTGTGCTTACAGCAAAAGAAGAGGCTTGGTATAGGACAACTTGTGGGGAAGAGATCTCTGCCTCACCTCCAAATTTTGGCTAGATGCTCTGCTTTCACTAAAATGAAGCCCTTTTCACAATGATTCATGCGTCTCCCTTACCATACCAACCAACTATAACATATTCTACCACAACAGGTAAAATGTACATACAAGGATATTTTATGTTAAAACATGAAAAAAGTAACTGCAAATTTTGTTTTTGTAGAGTAATAGTTTTAAGTACTTTTTAAAGAAAAAGGACAATTTTAGTTAAAGGAAATACTCCATGCTATATTTTGCAAGTTGAAAAAATCTTTGAGGAAGTAAAGCACCAACCCCAATTGACCTTTCATGTAAATCTCAATTAAAAAAAAGTTAAATATTTTCCATGTGTGAGGTCCTTTTTGAAGGACTCTATGTGTATTATCTTATCTAACTCCTATTTCCCTATCAAGGGGTTCTATTTTTATACCCATATTACAGAGGAAAACCCCACACAGGATGAAGTAAAGTAACATGCTTAAGGTCACCCAACCAATAACTGATGGAGCTTTAATTTGAACTCAGGTAGTCTAATTGGAGAGCTCACATTCTACCTTTTTTTATTCTTTTTTAACATCTTTGTTATTCCCATACATACTCTTCACCATTTGTGTTCCACGTTTATACACCACACATGCAAGAAGGATCTCAGTTCTGATTCTCCCATCTTTAGTGGGATTGCTAATTTGTTGTAACTGATTTATGGAGGCCCAGAATTCCTTCTCTCCCTTCATCTCTCTCAATTTTGTTTCTTCTCTTGGGCCTTAATCAAATAGCAAGCAATGCCACTGGGAGACACCAGTCCCCAGATTTAGGAGAGCATAGTTATTCTCTTCCCAGTGCTTAAATCTCAAGATACAGGCAAAGTGCTCTGGCATCACGTAAATAATGTAACATTTTAATACCCAGTTCTTTTCACTGGTCTACTTTTACACGGCTGAGGAGTGGAGGCAAACAGGACTTATTTCCCTTGCTATTTAAGCTCTATCCTAAGATTGCTTTCTCACATTTCAATACTACTAGAGAAGAACCAAACAACTAGAGCAAATAGTACTGCTGTTTGTATATTATCGTTGGAGCACTTAGCTGGCTCTGAGCACAAACTACTTGTAAGGCTCCCCGAGAATGATTCCCAGTTGTCTCAGCTCACTGAAGTCTCAGGGAAAGAAACTGCCATTAATCATACACTACATGCCTGCTCTCCATTTAAAAGTTAACTCCCCTTCGATGTTTCCTGGGTCCTAAGCATCCTTTAAATAAATAAATTAGTGAGACATTCATGTTTTTACCTTTGTGACTGTTTAGCTTTTCTTTTCAGCTGGGAAGCTGGTACAAAGGTTTCATTCAGAGGAACAAACATCATCTAGATAAAGCTGCACTAAACATTACCTGAGTGGCTGGCATTAATGAGAGCAAATTAAAGAGCTATTGTTTACTGTTTTGGATAGTGAAAGCCGACAGGTAAGAAACACTTAAGTATCAACTACGCTGCGGTGAAAACTGAAGCTTCAATTAACCCTGGCAATTTCAGAGAACTCCGAGGGTGACCATCTGTGAGGCAAACGGCTCAGGCAACTCATACATCTTGTTTTAATCTTTCTTTGGATGATTATAATTTCAGGGTATAAATAAGGTTATTAGCAAGAACAGAACAACAACAATAATTATAGTAAGTGTTTGCGGGGCACTTTGATTAGACTATGACGTCAGTCACTCTGCAGCTTCAAAATGAGGACCTCATGCTCCGTGTTTGCTCTCCACGACCACCCTTAAAGGTGGCCACACCATGTACTCACTCACAGAAAAGAGGCTACGGGGACTCACAAGTTATTTCTTTAAGGGATTTCATGTAAACCCATCTCAAAGCTGCCTAATATCCTAAATATCTGAAGAGTATACTATTCTAATTACTCTGGAAGTTGTCTCCAAAAACATTATGCTGGACCAGAATGAAATGTTTTAACTCATCCACCTGACATTTCACATTTGTGTGTGACAATAGTAACTTCTGGAGACATTAATCAGATTTGGTGGGCTGAGAAAAGGTATTAAGTTACATGCATACTTTATGTGTGATCAGTTCTTATAAGTTCTAATAAAAACTCACATGGATGAGATTAATGGAGTTCTGCCCTCAATGAGACTTCTGCTTTCATATTCATTGCAAAGGTCTCTATCCCTAAGTACTCTAGATGGCAGGAGAGGCTTCCACCTGTATGCAGGATTTACCCTGTCATGTTTGGACTAATGTATCAATAAGGCTGTCTGGGCACAAATTAGAATATTATAAATGAATGTGAGATATAAAAGATTATAAACATAACATTAGTGAATAAAAGTGTCCAAACGAATGTATTTCCATAATTTGAAAAGAATGTAGGATTTAGGTAGACAGAAGTAATAGCACTGTGTAAATTCTACACAGTGATGTTGCGTACACAGGAGGAAAAATGCCTGGCTCTTAATGGCATCATTGAACTGGTAAATCAATGATTATCACCTTCCTCTGAACTTCTTGCTAGGTGAGAAAAAGAAATATTTACATATTTCAGCCACTATTAGGTTTTCTGTTATTTTCATCTGAGAGGATTCTAACATATATAACATCCATTACTGTTAAGTCCTGGGAATCCAGGGACAAATCTATTTGGTTCCTTCCCTCAAGAACCTTACCATCAAGTAAAGAAGAATGAGATGCAAACAAAGAATCCCGACACGTGCAGTAGAGGTGGGTGTAAGGTGCTATTAGAGCACAGAGGAATGAATGATTAAGTCTATTGGTAGCTGCTAGGGAAAGCTTCCTGGTAGAGGCAACGTCTGTGCTGGGTCTAGAAGAATAAGCAGCAATAGTCCAAGGAGATAAGAGTGAAAGCCAGGCATCTCAGGCAGAGAATTTAGAACAAATAAACACAAAGAGCTGTGAAAGTGTATGGTATATTCAGGGAATAAAAAGTAATTTGGAAAAAGATGCTAAGTAACTTCGGAAATCAGTAGAGTAAGACTAAAGGCAATAAGAACTGTAATAAGCACTATACTCTAGTTGATAAATGGTTAACAATTCTGAAACCACTATACAAATATATTGAAATTGAACAATTAAGAGATAGATAGTAGATGGTGGGTACCAGGTTTTTCACTGAGAGTGGAAGGTTACAGATAAGCAAGGGGAGAAGGCTAGAACAATCCATATGGCAATGAATTAGAATTTAAGTCATCAGTATGAACTCATGTTTAGCTTACTATAAACACAAATATTACATATAGAAATATTAGATACATGCATATACACAAATATTACATATAGAAATATTAGATACATGCATATATAGTCAGGTTAGTATACACACACGTATTTCCTTACCCTGCCAGACGAAAGGGCCCAGAAGCAACTACATCCCAGTAGCAACAAGCACACCAAGCACCTAGATCTTGGTTTCTAATACTATTCTCCAATAAAAGGAACCAGGGCTCCTTAGAGAAATGGCTGATGTTAGGACTTGGGCAGGGAATACATAAGATGAGCCTATAGCATCTTATAGCACCAGAAAGCAAGGAAGTGCTAAAACAAAGAAACAAAAAAAACCCCACACACTCACAAAAAACCTAAAACAGGAGTATGTCAAAAGGACACAGGAGCCAACTGAAAGAGCTCCCAACGGCTAAAGTCGAAACACTCTGAGCAACAAAATAAATGAAGTAATTTTGGATTATAACCCAAAATATAAAATAAATATCCATGTGTCCATACTGACATAAATGATTGATTGAATAAATAAATAAATGGGGGAGAAGAGACAAATCTCCCATGCAGAAGAATTCTAAACAATTTATGTAGCTACTCCACCCTCAAGGAGGTGGAGCATAACTCCTCTTTGCTCAAGTGTGGGCTGTGCATAGTGACTTCCTTCTAAAGAGGACACTATGGAAGGCGGGAGAGAGTAACTCTTCAGTGGAGAAATTTGACAAACACTCTCTCAGCCAGGTGATCAAGGTCAACATAACAGCAATAAGTCACGTTGATGGTATGTATTCTTGATAAGATGTGATGAGAATGGCACTTTGTCTTCTTTCTCCCAAAAACCCATATCCTCAGTCTAATCAGGAGAAAACCATCAGACAAACACTAATTGAGGAACAGTCTACAAAATGTTCTACCTGACCAGTACTCCTCAAAACTGTCAAAATCATCAAAACACAAATTAAATCTGAGAAACCGGTACAGCCAAGAGGAGCCTAACGAGACATGATGACTGAATATAACGTGGTATCCTGGATGGGATCCTGGAACAAAAA